GTGTTGAACTGCAAGGTCATTTTGAACTAACTACAAGGGTGGTGGTTCTTGGAAGCCAGGAGCTCCTTGGAAACCCTACCCAGGGTCTCTATGAATCAGAACTGACTGGTCGGCAGTTAACAACGAGAGCAGCAGCAGCAGACCCCTTGTACGGCTCGGTAGCCATTGCTTTGATTGTGCGTTGTCATTAGTCTCGTTCTGATGAAGCCAGGCTTCATCTCCTGTTTCAGTTCTTCAAAGAAATGCTTCAGGATCTTGATCCTGCTTGTTAAAAGTGTCCATTGAAAGCTGATGTGAGCTGCAGAAAGCTTGCTCAACTTTTCATTTTCAGTCAGAATCGAAAGCTGTGGTGGTGGCTGTTTCTGCTGTGTGTGTTTTTGTGGTGCTGTTGTTTTCTTTGTTCCACTTAATTTCATGTCCTGAGTTCTTTCTGTTTGTGGGCTCTCTTGCCATTTTCTTCATCATGTTAATGTTTACTAAATGCCTAGGATTTTCACCTTTTTTATTTTGATGAGATGGTTTATTCATTTTCTTTGCAGTTACTCTGTAATTTATTAATTTCTCCCCCCAGTTTGAAACAGTCTGTTTTATCCTGAAATCTACTTGACTTACTCACCATTTAGAAGTTCTGTGACTGTATTATTCCTTCTTTTTGCTTTGTTGTTCTTTTCATTATAAAGATATCTCTGGTTCCCTATTTTCAGTCTTAGAGGTTTGTTTTACTTTGGATACGTCTCGATCTGGATTGATTCTGTGTGGTGGTGTCATGTATGTTAATCTCAAGTTGTTGTCCACTGTTTTGGTTCTCTGTCCAAAGAATTTCCCTTTAGTACTTTTTATAAATTTGGTCTGTTATTGCACATTCCTTTAATTTCGGTTGATCTGAAATATCCTAATTTTGCCATCATATTTAAGGAGCAGTTTTACTGGATATGTGATTGTTGGATGGCACTTTTTTTCTTTCAGACTTTGATATGTCATCCCGTTGCATTCTGGCTTGCATGGTTTCTGTAGAGACCTTAGAGCTTAGTCTTAGCAGTTCTCCTTTGTAGCTAACTTTATGTTTTTCTCGAGTTGCTCTCAGGATTCTTTCCTTGTCTTTAGTGTGGAAAGTTTGATTATGATGTGCTTTGTTGATTTTTTGAGGAGGACTAGCCTGTTTGAAATTCATTCAACTTCTTGAATGCTTAACTTCTCATTTTTCTTGCTGTTAGGGAAGTTTTCTTCCAACAACTCTTCAAAAATGTTCTTTTTTTTTTTTTTTTTGTCTTTTCCTGTTCTGGAATTCCGATCACGTGTAAGTTTTTTGATGATGTGCCACATAAATCTTAGGCTTTCTTTGGATTTTTTCCTTCTTTTTTGGATTATTCTTTTAGCAGACTTGTATTGAGAGATTTGTCTTCAGGCTCACTAATTTTGCCTTCCATCGATTCAAATCTACTGCTTTGCCCTTTTTTTTTTTTCTTTTCTGAATTCTCTCTGCTTTCATCTGTAGCTTTTTTGATCTTTCTTTCAATCCATTGAAAGTACTTAAATATCATAATTTTGAATTCTTTATCAGGTTGTTCTAATACCTTTTCTTCCTCAGGAGCGTTTTGTGGCTCTGCAGCGAAGTCACTTGTTTAAGCCACTCTGTCTTGCTTTTTCATGCAAACTGAAATTGTTGTCTCAGAATCATTGTATTTGTATTTAATTGATGGTTTACAGTGGCATGGTCTTTTCACTTCTTACCTGCTTTCTGGTGGATGTAATTAGAGAATGGAAACTTATGTACAATTCTCTGGTCACCATTTGTGCACTTAAGTTCAGAGTGGGTTTGGTTGGTGATGGCTACTGTTTGTTGTTGATCAGATGCTATGGTAGCAGGTAGTTGCTCTTGCTTAGTGGGTTGGGTTGCAGAAGGCCCTGTTGTGGCTGGGCTGTGTGGTCATGGCTGCTGTCTCCTACTGGGTGGAACAAAAAGAACACACACGCACAGAGAAACCAAATAAACAACAGTGAAAATAGAAAATAATGAAAGAGGAAAAAACAAACAAACACCCAACCAGACAGCAGCAAGAAAAAAGAATACGATAGCTAAAAAGAGAAAAAAGGAAATGAAAAATAAAAAGAAAGAAAAAATAGTAAAATTAGGGAGAGGGCAGAAAAAAAGAGACAAGAGATTAGTAAAAAGAAAAATCAAGAGGGAAAAAGAGAAGATGAAGTAGGGGGAAGAGAATCAGAAGAAATAAGTAAGGAGAGAAAGAAAGAATAGTAAACAAGGGAAGGAAAAAAGAAAAAGGAGGAAAAAAGTCCCAAACAAGGAACTGGAAAAATGAGGGCAGGGGCCAGTTCCAGAAAGGGAAAAACTGTCGTGGACTCCTCCCTAGTTGGGAGGGGGAGAGATGAGAGGATGGCTGTTGATGAGAGATAAGAGGGAGTTGCTGCAGGTTATTTGTTGTCTGTGTTCAAGAAACCCACTCCTAAAGTCGTTTTTTACAGGCCAGAAGGAAAGTTTCAGACCCAGAGGGCAGCTGTGGGCAGGACTACTGGTTGTGAGTTCTTGCCAATGTAGGGCAGGCCAGCGACCCCGGCTCTGCACATTCTGCAGGTTTGAAGAAGCAGAGTTCACCTGTCTTCAGGGGTCCTCATGGTGTGTTCTGTGCTCTGGCAGGGGCAGAGCTGGGGGTGGATGAGAGTAGGGGCTAGCATGCCTGTGGGCAACAGGGGAGTGTGGGCAGCAAGAGGGATTCACACCTTTCTCATTATCAGCAAGATCAGGCCACTGCTGGAGTCCAGTTCTGGCTACTAAAGTTCCTGATGGTTGCTTCCAGTTCACCTGTCTGTTTCCTTTCTTGCTGCCCCTGTTCAGCTGCTTCTCCTAGTCAGTATTCCGTCCACGTCTCCTTCCTTTTTTCTGAAGCTCAAATTTCCAGGGTTTTCATTTGTTGCATTTGCTCTCTTGTATTTTTGTTGGAGAGGGTCTGTGTAGTGTGTTTTCCTAGTATGCGAGCTTGCTGGAAGGCCCTTTGTTTTCTGCTCATCTCTTGAAATGAGTTGTCCATTTGTAAACTTCTGATTTCATTGGGGGCATTGTCCCTGTAAACTATTTGTAAAGCATCAATGATTTCACCATTCTTCACCCAAGCTTCACCATAAATGTTAGTAGAATTCATGTAGCTCTGTTAGGGACTCTTTTGAAACTGATGTCTTATTCTTCTTCGTGCCTCACACTAGCTTCTGTTCAGACGTGCTATATATCCAGTTGTTGTTAAGTGCCTTCGAGTCAGTTCTGACTCAGTGACCCTGTACAGGGTTTCTGGGGCTTTTTAAATCTTTGCAGAAGCAGAGCCTCTCATTGTTCTCCCTCAGAGTGGCAGACAGGCTTCAACTACACTCCCTGTATCAAGCTGTTGTTGTTGCTGAGTGCCATCGAGTCAGTTCCGACTCACAGCAACCCTGTATAGGGTTTCCAAGGAGCAGCTGGGGGCTCTGAACCGCTGACCTTGTGGTTTGCAATCCACTGCTGATCCTATAACACCATACTAGGAGTCCTGTTTCAAGGTTGTTGTTGTTAAGTGCTGTCGAGTCGATTCCGACCCATAGTGACTCTGTTCAGGGTTTCCGAGGCTGTACATCTTTATGGGAGCAGAAAGCCTCATCTTTCTTTTGCGGAACAGCTGGTAGTTTTGAATTGCTGACCTTAAAGTTCGCAGCCCAATTCATAACCACTGCGCTACCAGAGCTCCTTTGTATCAAGGTAGGACAAGTTTTATTTTGGTGCCCCACCCCCCCATTTTTTCTTGAAACCCATGCATACATTTTTCATACTATGCATTTTCCATGAAACTTTTGAAGACCCCTTATACGTGTAGAAGAAGCCAGTCTCAGGAACCCAATATCAGGTCACTGTAAATTGGAATTGACTTGAGGACAGCAGGTTTGCTTTTGGTGTGGGTCGTGCTTGTAGAAACTATTGAATTGGTCAGTGTTTTGCTGTGTGTAGCCTAAACAGCAACCATGTGGAAAAGGTGAAAAGACAACCTATGAAATTCAGGATGCTCTCATCTGAAGATCCTCAGTTAGAGCTGCAAAGATCCATTTTCCAAATAAGGCCACACTCACAGGTCAGAGGATAGGATTTAGGTTTGGCATTTTGGGGACCTCCACCCTATCCACTCCACTACGTATTTGCCTGTCATTGTGCCCAGCAGAGGCGCACTCATAAAGCCTCACAACAGGTAGGAAAGGGGGTTAGGGTTTGTAGTCTCATTTTATAACCAAGGAAGCTGAGCCTTTGAAAGAGGAAGGTCTTAGCCAAGGACACAGAGCTCATACAGGCAGAAGTGAGATTCACATCAGAGGCTGACACTGCGAAGCCCTGCCTACTCCACACGCCCTGTTCTACTTACTTTAGTGTTTTGTGCTGTGGCTTATGTAGGAAATGGCTTTCAAAGGTTAAAACACATGTATTGATTTGAGGAGGTAATAACTCTCGATGATCAAAATCCAAAAGATACAAAACAGAAAGTCTGCCTTCCTCCCCCTCTGCCAGCAGCCTGGTTCGTCTTCCTAGAGGCTCCTTCCAGAGATAAGGTTTTTGAAATCCCTCTCAGATCTCTGTCTACTTTCAGAAGAAAACTAAGGTCCTATCTCAGCTCAGTGTTTGAGGTTTCCACTCCCTTCTGTCTTCCAAGGCCAATGGCCAGGTGCTCTTGGGTTTGGAGGAGTCCAGGAAGAGATTGGCCTTGGGGAAGATGCTCAAAGAAGTCTCTGATTTTATCTGCACTCTTTTGACTTCAAATAAGGAGAATGTATTCATGCATGACTTGTGCAGTGAACCCTTAATTCCCCAAATAATGCCCACCGTAATGGGGCTGTAGGATGTTTGGCGTGGGGAAGCACTTTAATGCCACAGTATCATCTTGTCTTCATTCATATTACTGCACATGACAAAGGCCAGGGGCAAGGGGTCCTGAGGAACTTTGTGGAATCTTGTTAACTACGTTTCTCCCCTTCAGCAAAAAGGAGTTGGGATGAATGAGCCCCTGGTGGACTGTGAAGATTATCCCCGCTCAGATGTGGACCTGTACCAAGTCCGAACTGCACGGCACAACATCGTCTGTGAGTGACCCTCCACACATAGATACAATCAGCATGGTTCTGGGGGGTTCTCTCTCTGCCATTGTCTGCCCTGTCAGATGATCTCATTTTACCCATCGAAAGACTGAGAACTGAGAGAATGGGGTGGACTCTATTGTTGTTAGATGCCATGAGTGCTGACCCCTAACCGCCTCATGTGCCTGGCTCCCGGCACTGCCCTCCGCACAATCCTTGTTGTGTTGGAGACACTGTTTCAGTCCATCTCCTTGAGGGGCTTCCTCTTATTTGCGGATACCTGGGCCTTCGATTTTTATTCTTTCTTTTTTGAGAAGTAGCCCTAGTGATGTAGTGGATTAGTACTGGGCTGTTAACTGAAAGGTCAGCAGTTCAAGCCCACTAACCAGTCCACAAGAGAAAGCTATGGAAGTTTGCTTCCGTCAAGATGCCAACCTTGGGGCACTTCTATTCTGTCCTGTAAGGGTGCTGTGATTCAGAATCAACTCAGCAGCTAAGGGTTTGGGTGTTTTGGTTTTTTCACTTTGTTCTTATGAATTTCTCTGTGGACACTGTTGAAAACAGGCAACAGAAACCTAAGTAAAAAATTGCTTGCCATCCTGGTCAAATAGATGAGCGATTTGGTAGGACTAACATGGTGATTTTAACCTCAAAGGGTGTGTAGTCTCTGTGTCTTGTCAGCAAAAGACACCCACCTGAAGGACAGCAGTGCTGCTGGTGGGTAGAGCCAGGCTCCCCTCGCGCTGCCACCCTCATGCCCTGGCGTCCAGGTTTGTTTTTAAATTGTGGTGAAACACTAGGTAACAAAATGTACCAGTCATTTTTACATGAGCCATACGGTGACATTAATTACATTCTCTGTGTTGTTCAACCACTTCCCCTATTGCCAATTACTTTTTAGCACCCTTAAACAAAAACTCTGTACCTCCTAAGCAATGGTCCCCCATTTCTCCCTCCCACCCACCTCTGGTGACCACTAACAAGCTTTGATCTCTCTGCATTTGCCTCTTTGGACGTGGCTTCCATCTGAAATGTCCTATGAGTTCTACGTGGGAAGAGGGCAGAGGAAGATAGGAGGAAGGGCAGAAGGTTTTATGCTAGCTAGCATTCCCTTTTAAAATCCCCTTCTAAGGTTCCTTCTTTAAGGAGCTCTGGTAGCGTAGTGATTACAAATCGGGCTGCTAACTCACAGTCAGCAGTTTGATACCACCAGCTATTCCGCTGGAGAAAGATGAGGCTTTCTGCTCCCTTAAAGATGTACAGCTTCAGAAACCCTATACGGGGTCACTATGAGTCGGAACCAACTCCACGGCTCATAACAACAACAACAAAACAACAAGGTTACTTTAGAAGGAAGAAGCAGCTCACTAGGCCTTTTTTTCAAGGAACCGCTGGCTGGGTTCGAACTGCTAACCTTTTGGTTGGTAAGCTGAGAACATAACCGTTTGTGCCACTCCTGTGGACAAAGCGCTCAGTAACTTCCAGTGGGTGAATGCGGGAGCCTACCCGGGCCCTTGATGTGGTTGTTCTCATCTCAGGCTTGCAGAACGATCACAAGGCGGTGATGAAGCAGGTGGAGGAAGCCTTGCACCAGCTGCATGCTCGGGACAAGAAGAAGCAGGCTCGGGACTTGGCAGAGGCCCAGAATGAGGCCCTGAGGCGTGGGTCGGAGCCGAGCCCAAGTGGGAGTCCCCAGCCCCCTCAGGCCTTCGCCAAAGTCAACAGCATCAGCCCTGGCTCCCCCGCCAGCACTGCAGTAAGTCAGGGCCCCAGAACCCAGACCCACGTCCAGAGGGCTCGGTGGGCCATGTGGCCTGGGGATTGTGGGGAGAGGTGGCGGGAAGATAGACCCATCCCTTCACTCTGGGAGGGAACAACTATGTTTACATAGTCTCTCAACAAACATTGCCAGCCTCCACTGACCACTGTACTGCTGGGAGGTCTGTTCGCGGTGACCACTGGGACATGGAGACGATGGTTAATGTCTGGGGAGAGGTGCTCTTCTTGGGGCTCATTTTAGTTGGGCACTGGCTCCTAGAAATGACAGCAGTAGCCATCATTGCCGCTTAACGAGCCCTCGCTGTGCACCAGGAGTGTTGCCCAGCGTGTTCTACATCTGTATTTCAGAACAGCTGTGCTGAGATAAAACTCACGTTCGCTACAGCTCACAGAGTTGTGTGTTCCTTGCCAGCAACCAACTTTAGAACAACTCATTATCCCTGTACTCCTTAGCGTTCACTCCCACCTTCCTAAACATCCCACTACTCTAGGCAGTCACTACTCTACTGAGGTTCTTCCATAGCGTAGCTGGAACCAGAACATCATTCTTATGCTCAGCCATATTCATCGTGCGGAAAGACATGGATCACTGACTTGTTCGTCGGGTGATGGACAGTTGGGTGTTTCCACTCTTGGGCTCTGGTGAATAATTCTGATATGAACACTCATGTATAGGTGTTTGAGGCTGGCTTTTCTAGAGAAGCAAAAGTGCTGAATTTTATATGTGCTAGAGAGAGAGAGAGATGTCAATCTCAAGGAAATGGCTCACATGGTAGCAGAGGCTGACAACTCCCAAGTCTGGGTCAGGTGTCAGGCTGGAGGCCTCCTGACTCGCACAGATGCAGATGTGACAACCTCAAGAAGGCAGGAAGGATGGCAGGCTGAAGACCAACTTCTTTATCTCCTTTTTGTGTCTGGAACATCTGCATCTGGCATCATCACAGTGTGAGGAACTGTACACATGTCTCCCCCACTTTTTTTTTTTTAAGTTTTTATTGTGAATTGAGTGATAGGAGAGCATCGGTTTTACGCCACCGTTTCATTGCAATGATTACAATCTCCTCCATGTATCATTATTCAACAGTATTTGCTTCTATTCCTTCTATTTAAAAAAATTTTTTTTTTTTTTCCCGGGAGGGGAATGTATACAAAAACACTCAGGAATATATAATAATTTAAACAACCAAAGGGCACATTCTGCAAGCCAGCCTCCTGGGCACCAGCACTAAGTACCTCTCTTTCCATGAGTCTAGAGTCCTCATCTGCTCCCTCTCTCCATGTCCCCATTTCTGCCCCCATCTCTGGTGTCGCTGCTTCTCTGGATAAGGTCCCACATTCTGCTCATGCTCTTCTCCCTTGATGGTCCTCGGGCCCTCTGTTCCTGGACTGTATGGTTAAGCACTCCGCCAAAACTTCTACCTTTACGGTTTCATTCCTCCCCTTCTGGACTTTCAATTAGTTTGGCATCTTACAATCCCCCTTTGCAAACTGGAATTTAAGTAGACATCCACAAAGCTTTATTTGTTTTATTAAATTGTGATTTGGGTGAAAGTTTACACAGCAGATTTATTTTCCATTCAACAATTCACACATATTTTTTTTGGTGACATTGAGTGCCATCCCCACAGTGTAACAGCCCTCTTCCCACTTCCTGTATTTCCTGTTCCCATTCATCCTTTTTTCCTGTCCCTTCCTGTCTTCTGAGCTTCCTTCTGGGGCGGTTGCTGCTCTTTTGGGCTTGTATGATTGAGTGTTCAAAGGAGTGCCGTGCCTCCGTGGCATTAGTGTTCACCTTGTAGACCTGTGTATTGTTTGTCTGAATGTTGAGCCATGGGGAGAGTTTGGTTTCAGGCTTGAAGGGTGTCTAAGGACCATAATTTCAGGGGTTCTACTGGTCTTTATCCGACTAGTAAGGGCTATTTTTTCATTATTTTGAGTTTTGTTCCACATCTTCTCTCAGTCTGTCCAGGACCTACTTGGCAGCACGTAGCAGCAACAATCCAGGGCACCCAATTGTGATCCTGTTGTGTGCAGTAGTAGGGTGCCAGCTAGTTCTTCCGGTGTCAGGGTTGTGGAGGCTCAGGCTCTGTTGTTATGGTTAGTATGTGCCGTGGAGTCGGTTCCGACCCATAGCGACTCTGCACAGGGTTTCCGAGGCTGTAAATCTTTACGGGAGCAGAACGCCTCATCTTTCTCACGTGGAACTGCTGGTAGTTTCGAACTGCTGACCTTGAGGTTAGCAGCCTGATTCATATTAATTCATGTGGACTAACTGTCTTTTTTTTGGATCTTGTGTTTTTGAGTTTCTTCACTCGTCTTTACTCTCCATGTGGAGAGATCAGTGGTTGCTCATGAGTTTTGTTTTGTTTTGATTTAAACTTTTATTACGAGTTGAGTGGAGGTTTACAGAGCACATCATCAGTTTTACTTTCAAAGATTTATACACATCTTGTTTCATCTCATTTATTGCAATCCTCGGAAGCTTTTAAGATCCCAGTTGCTACTCACCAAAGTAGGATGGTAGAGCATTGTTGACAATGTAATACCAGTCAACCTTAATATCCCCTGAGACAATGGCTTGATCCCCAAGGTCCATTCATTCCCTCAAGGTGTTTGGTTATGTGTAAGAAATTATCATAACTCTGCCATGTATATATTACACCACATTCATCAATATATTTGTAGCAAAGGGAAATTGTAGTTTTTATTGTTAAGTGCCGTCAGGTTGGTTCTGATTCATAGTGACCCTATATAAGGTTTCCAAGGAGCAGCTGATGGGTTTGAACTGCCAGGCTTGTGGGTTCTCAGTCTATTGCTGGTCGTACAGCGCCACACTAGGAGTCCAGCCTCTTCCCTAGACTACTAAAAATCCAGGATGCAAGGCTTTCCAGATTTCCCATTGAAGTAGTTTAACATCAGAAGAAACAGCTTTCTCTTGAGGACAGTTGTGTGTTTAGTGCACAATAAATAAATATACAGTAAATACACAAATTGGCCAACTAGCTGACGAGGCTCCTGGGTTTCTAATTGGGGATGGAGGGATGCCAGTATCTTGTAGCATCTGCTCGGAAGTAGCCCAGTTGTAGTGTAAGTTCATCATCAGGGTTTACAAAGCCCCTTGGCTCCCTGGAGGCAGACCTTGACGTAGGAAAAGTTAAATTCAGTCCCCCAAGTTGCTCCATGCAACATCCCCTCCCCTATGCCTCAGATTCCAGTGTAAGCAACTTGCTGTTTTGGAGTCCAGGCGTGGCACTGTGGATTAATGTGCTGAACTGCAAAGTCAGTTTGAACCACAAGGTCAGTGTTTCAACTTCACCAGCTGTTCCTCGGAAATGCTCTACAGGGTCGCTATGGGTTGGAACCGACTCAATAGCACTTAACAACAATGCCTAAGATTCCAACATAAGCAACTTGCTACTTTAGGAACAGCACAGCTTTAAGGTTCTTTTCATGAAATGTAAATGATTTCATGTCCCCTCAAATATCTCCTCTCCAGACATTTAAAAACTATGAGTAATAATTTCTACCTGTCAATCAGCAAACCTTCATCAAGCTCTTCTATTAAATACGCATGTACAAATAGCATCTGCCAAACCTAATATATTCATGGGTATAGTGTCAGTCACTGTCCCACCCTTGTAGTTTGTATGTCTGTGTGTGTATGCACTCAGGTGATTTTCAGTGCTGTTGTATGTGCGGTGTTGCCTTTAACTTCTCTTCTCCGCTTGTCTTCTTTTGCCTTGATCATGTGTGCTGACCACCCTCTGATTGTGCATTGTGGGTATTGCCTTTTCTCCACCACAGTTAACACACGTCTGCCCTCTAGTTTGTGATTTACCTTGCCTCTCGCTCCCATCCCTGGGAACTTTCTGTGTAGAAACCTTTCCTTGACTTTAATAGTAGTGGTCTCATAGAGTGTTTGCCCTTTTGTGATTCACTGATGGAACTCATTAGGCTCATCATAACGTTGTGAAGTTGTTGGTTATATGTAAGTACCATAGCTTGTTTCCACTGATGGCCACTGTATAGTATTTCTGTTTCTTACCTTTAAGAAGCACCATATTGTTTTCCACAGTGCTTGCACCATTTCATAGTCCCACCAGCAGGGTATGAGGGTCCCAGTCTGTGCACACTGTCACCAGCATTTGTTGTTTTCTGTTTTTTAAAACTTTGCTCTTATTGCTGGGAGTCCTGGTGTGGCACTGTAGGATAAACACTGGACTGCTAAGTGCAAGGTCATCATTTAAAACCGTCAGCTGCTCCTTGGAAGCCATATACAGGGTCACTGAGTCAGAACCGACGCGATGGCACACAACATTAATGCTGGGTGAGATGGGTATCTCATTGCCAGTTTCATTGGCATCTCTAATGGCTCAGGGCTGCAGACATTTCATGTGTTGTTGCCCACCTGAATATCTGCTTTGGTAAAGTGTCTGCTCCATGTTATTTGTAAAAATTGGATTGCTTATCTTTTTGTTGTTGAGGTGAGGTTGTTTTCTATAAATTTTTGATATTTCTTTGGATGATATGTCGTTGCCAAAACTATTTTTCTCGGTCTGTGGATTCTCTTTACTCTTGGTAAAGTCTTTTGATGTGAATAAATGTTTCATTTTTAAGGGGTCCCAGTTATCTAGTTTGTCTTCTGCTGTTTGTGCCTTTTGAGTTATGTTTCACAGTGTTATTTATTCAGTGCGTAGCTGTTATTGTTAAGTGCTGTAGAGTTGGTTCTGAGTCATACAGACCCAGTATAGGGTTTCCATGGAGGCGCTGGTGAGTTTGTACCATTGAACTTGTGGTTCAAATCGACCTTGCCTTCCTGTACTTGTCCTACAGTGCTACAACAGGACTCCCGTGTATTGTTGTTAAGTGCTGTCAAGTCAGTTCTGATTCACAGGGACCCCGTATAGGGTTTCCAAGGGGCGACTGGTGGGTTTGAACTGCTGACCTTGTGGTTAGCAGTCCCATGCTTATCCTACAGCACCACACTAAGCCACAAATTCATTTTTAGTTCAAATTATGTAACATCCTTGAATTGAACATCGACTGTAGAAATCAAGTGGAATCGGCTCTGGGACCATAGTGACCAAATGCTCTGCGTAAATCTTCAGACCTGGAGGTGTTAGCCACATTCCTCATCAAAAAAATGTGTTGGGGGTTGATAGGGAAAGTGCAGCCAGTGGGGTGTGATTCTCAGCTTGCAGGGCACTAACTGTCTCCACAAACCATCAGCACATCCTGCAGCAAACTCAGCCAGAAAGCTCTGCATGGCACCCGCCCCTCCTCACAATGCCTCAGTATGTGTCAGGTGTTTACCAAACTGGAGGTCAGATGATGATGCAGTATCTAGATCGTGCAAAAAACCAGAGAGCTTACCAGAAGGTCTGTGTACACTGGAAGCAGGCTCCACCCATGAGGAAACTGCTTTTCAACAGATTGGCAGCTCGTAGTGGGTCTCATCATGGCCGATAATTACGTCTTTGCGTAACTCCCTAACCATATCACAGTTGCCGAATCACCGAGAATTCAGGCCTAGCCAAGCTGCTATGCACCCTTCATCGTCACTGGCAGACATGTATTTAATATTTCATCCCCACAGCACTCTGGGGTAGGTGTTTATCTTTATCCAAAGGCCTCAGAGCTATGAAGTAGCAGGTGCCAGGACACACGGTTCATAGTAAGCTGCTGGCTCTTGCATCTGGGGCCTTATCCGGCTCTCACCACAATCACCACAGCATCTAGCTTGGTGCTAGAGTTGACACACAACACATTTGTTGAAGGGATGAGTGAAGACTGCTCTGTGTTCTTAGGGTTTGGAAGAAAGGGTCACCCTAGTCCAGGCTCAGCTTTCTTGGGCGGCTTCGGGGGCAAACCTGTATCTTGTCTGACTCTTCACCGCCCTTGCTCTGCTGTGGTCTCTGGCGGAACGGGCGCTCAGAGCACCAGTGGTTCTGGCTGGCCTTCAGGAGCGCTGTGCCAGCCGCTGCCCCTTCATCCGAGGCTGGCCTGCCTTTCCTGCCCCTGAACCTGAATGAGAGAGCTGTATTTGGCTTTCAGGTGACCTCCATACTGCCAACTGTCAGACCGTCAGCAGGTCTTTTGCTGGGCCTACCCTGGGAGGAGTCTGGAGGGACTGGCTCAATTGTCCTCCACCCCTTCCTGCATGAGGTTGCCAAATCCCTGTCCTCTTCCTTTAAGCCTGCCACTGTCCCCTGCAGAAAGCAAGTTCTGTACCTGCCCATCGCTTCAGCTAGTGAAAGGAATCCAATTCAGAACCACAGTCGACAGCTAGCCTGTTCTCCCTTTTCTCTCTGTTCTTTAGGGTCTGCAGGTGGATGACGAGATTGTGGAGTTTGGCTCTGTCAATTCCCAGAACTTCCAGTCGCTGCAGAATGTGGGCAGTGTGGTGCAGCACAGTGAGGGGGTGAGTCAGGGAGCCGGGATGGCTGGTGGGTAACCTGGGATTCTGGGTCGGGAAACCTAGCAGGGCCTCTGAGTGCTAGCCCCACCCCAGTCTTCACTGGCTGTTTGTTCCCGTACCTGAAATGCTTTTCTTCTCTGCCCTCTAACCTTCCTCTCTTTCCACCAAGACAACTTCCTGGAGAGGCCTGTTCCAGCCACCCTGTCTCTGTTGGCCCTCACCCACCTCCCTCCTTGCTCAGACGGAATCTAACATTTTATACCTGTCTGCTTCCTGCCTGTGGGGCCAGAGATGGCGGTCTGTTTTGAGACTGCTGTGTCCCCAGAGCCAGTGTTGTTGCCACAGAGCAGGTCCTCAGGGAAGGTTTGTTGAGTGAATAATGACAACTGACAAGGAGGGAGGGCTCGCTGTGTCCCCGGCAGCTCTGGCTGTACATAGTCTTGTTCAGTCCTTCTGAGCTAAGAATTGTGCTCATTTCCATTTTGCAACTGAGAATGCAAGGAAGACAAGGAAGAGCAAGTAACCAGCCCAAGGTGTCAGCTAATAAGTGGTAGAGAGAAGCTTTGGACCCAGACGTTGTCTGTCTCCACAGTGTCCTCTCAAGTCACGACATCCCTCAGTCAAACGACAGACAGGCCTCCCAAATGAGCAGTTCCTCCAGGAGGAACATGCTCCTCAGCACAATCATGCAGACCAGAAGGGCAGTATTGACCCCAAAACAAAGCTCAGAAGGTAGGAAAGATGGGTGGATAGAAATGGGAAGTCCAGGGCGGTATAGGAAGCAAGCTGCGACATCGAGGGGATTAATTACCAGCAGTGTCATGAACCAGTGTGTATCTGTTGTTAAATCTCTTTCAATTTGCACCCAGTCCGTCTTAAAAAGTTGAAAAAACAAACAAACAAGCAGCCCTGTGTTTTCGCACAGACAGCCTGAACCCTACTGTGTGCTGGGCCCTCCCTCGGGTACTCTGTCTGTCACAGGGGGCAAAGGACACGTGGCCCTGCCCTCCTACTGTTTGTGAAGACAAAGTGCTGGTTCCTTAGTGTTTAATAAGACAAGTAGCACTGGTGGTGCAGTGCTTAAGCATAGGTCCTTCTAGAAATACATCACATAGGCTGAAACGTTGCTGTGTTTTTAAAAAAAGACTAAATTAGCTTCATTCAGTCTAATGTTTTGGAATAAGGCCCAATTGATGGACATTTTGGATATTTAGTTTTGAATTTATAAGCAGTCTAGGACTGAATTCTTTGCTCATCTTCCATATCGTATTTTATCTTTAAGAAACTTGAACTCTTACCTTTCTAAAATTGCATTCGATACACATGAATGTTTTATCTTCAAACAAAGATAAAGATGCCATTAGAATCAAGTTTCCTTTTGACGCTTTTGGTTTTCTGGTTTTACTTATTTTTCTGAGCGGTAAAAAAATATGTAATAAAAACATTTGCCATTTCAAGTTGTTTGTATGTATAATGGGCTTCAAAAGTTTGTTGGAAAACAGAATGAAAAGCTAGTAGGGTTTTTCCAGGAAAGATTTCCTCGGCTGAAGCAGTGACATGGATTTCATTCGCTGTGTTGTGCAGCCATCAGCACGCTCCATTTCCCAATGCCTCCATCGCCTTCAGTGTCCCGGAAGCTCCTCTCCCGCGTTTCCGCTCTCACCCGCCTCTGGTACCCACTCACTAATGAACTTTGGTCTCTATGTTTCTGTCTGTTGTAGAGATTTTAAGTTAAGTGGAATCAGACAATTTTGTCCTTTGGTGTCTGACTTCTCATACCTACTTCTGGGGATTAACACCGTGCATATCTTTCCAGACATTTTATTCTGCATTTACATAGGTATTTTTGTTATGTGTACAATTTTTTAAAAGGTAGGTAGAGTCATTTGTACTACTCTGCAGCTTGTTTATTTTACTCAGTTACCTCATTGTTTTTAACACTTGCATAATATTTAGTAGTATAGATACTTCAGGAGCCTTAGTCACATAGTGGGTTCAACTTTATGCTGCTAACAGAGAGGTCGGCAGTTCAACCTCCAGCCATTGTTCGGGAGAAAGATGAGGCAGTCTCCTGTAAAGATGAAACCGTATGGAGTAGTTCCACTGTGGCCAGCGTGGTTGCGGTGAGTCAGAATTAGCTGGAAGACAGTGGGTTTGGTTTTGGTGGACTATGGCTATGTCCTTGTTTGTTTCTTTTAAAATATTGTAACTGCCTATTTTTTCTTAAGTGCTGTCTAGTGGTCCTGACTCAGCAATCCTGTATGGGTTTCTGAGGAGCAGCTGGTGGGTTGAATTGCTGATCTTGCAGTTAGCAGTACAGTGCTTATCCTAAAGTGCACACACGACTCCATTATACAAACAGCCTATAATATATTCATGTAATCAATATGGAAAAAGTAAAAACCCCTGTGAGCCTCAACCCTAATTCAGATCCTTTCCCTATTTGACGTCTATTTTCCTTGCTGTTTTTTTAATCCCATTAAATGTAAGAGATGTATATGTAGAAATTGTTGTTGAGTTGGTCCCAACTTATAGCAACCCTTTATAGGGATTTTCAGGCGGACTGGTGCATTTGAACCGCCAGCCTTGTGGCTAGCAATCTAGTGCTTATCCTAGAGCGCCATACCACACCTCCTCTGTATAAGCAGGTCGTTATGTTTTGAGCTCTGTGCTGTCTTCCACATGGCTGGTATGAGCAGTTGCTGGTATTTTGCCACCTTGTGTTTTTCATATAACTATAAGGAGCTCTGGTAGCGTAGTGGTTACGAGTCGGGCTGCGAACCTCAGGGTCAGCAGTTTGAAACTACCAGCTGTTCCGCGGGAGAAAGATGAGGCTTTCTGCTCCCATAAAGATTTACAGCCTGGGAAACCCTGTTCAGGGTCGCTGTGGGTCGGAACTGACTCGATGGCACTTAAAACAACAACATACTTCTTGGAGATCTTTTCATCTGGCACACCCACGTTCTTTTTTACTGCCATGTAGTTTTCCATTGCATGAATAGAGTGCAGTTTGCCCATCAGCCGCCTGATGAGTAGACAGTGAGGCATTTCTAGTTTTGCACTATTATGAACAGTAGTGTGTACGTGTAACTACTATGCACATGTGGACTTCTTTAGGACCAGACGTAAAAGGAGAATTATAAATTAACAGCCTGCACAAGAGGCACTGGTGGTGCAGTGCTTAAGCACATGTCCTTGTGGAAAATATAGTCAGATGGGCTTATACTTTGCTATTGTTTTTAAAAACTAAAATAGTTTCATTCTAAAGAAAGACCAGCAAAAAAAGAAAAAAATGCAGACTGTTTGGCTGTTAGACTATCAAGTGAGCTATTTGCTTTGGAGCCATTGAAGCAAGAAAAGTCATCCTATCAGAGAGAAAAAAACCCTTCTAAGACTGCCACTCAGAGGGGACTCGCGAGTACAATAGTATGCTCACTGGTGACCATCCTGGTCTACTTTTGAATACAAGTGGGGGAAGTGCATCAGTGAAGACATAGGCTGAGTTTAGCCATGTTCCATTGACACCCATTGACGACCTTGAGATGAGAGAGAGAACAGGAAGGGCTGGCTGGTCTGTAGTTTAGGAAGAAAAGTGAACTCCTGAGCCCATTGACAGTAACCCAGCCACTTGAGGCTCACTGACCTAGCTGAGAGTGACGCATACATAGCACCCACCTGCTCTGAAGTGTGGGGAAGTTGTGCGAGAACTCCAAACTTGCAGGTAGTACCCATCTGACCTCACCTGGATGGTTAGCTCACCAGAACTCGACCAGATGAAAATAAAGAAGCTGGATACTGTGAGCAAGCATAAATTGCTAAACTTTGATGAACTAGACCTTTCTTTGCTTATAGATGCAGTTGCTCAAATTTCCAACCCGAGTGGAAGGATTCTTCTTATCACAGATCAAGCATGTCTCCTCAGTGTACTGGGCTGATAAGGACGAGCAACTTGACATTGGCTATCAACAATGGGCAGGGGGGCGGGGGGTAGCTACAGTGAAGGAGTCTTCCTGCAGAGCCTCTGCATTACGTAAGACCATTACGTAAGGTGGAGTCCTGAACTCCATCCAGAATCTTCTGAGGTGGGACGTTTCTACTTGAAAGGACAAGCAGACCAGCCTGGAGCGGCTAGAAGAACAGAAGATATTTCTTGAAAGAAGACCAGCAGGAAAAATACAAAACAATAATGGCAGTCCGACTGATTACTATAAGAACAAGCAAGTTGCTTGCCCAGGACACATCAAGGCAAGTGGTCGGGTCCCCTCAGAGCAAACCCCCTTCCACGACTAACGCTCAGTGGGAATACATGAGCACACATGTGCTCTGATTGTTGACCATGTTTGTCACTGATCAGGGAAAGTGAGGGAAAAACAGCAATGAAGCAGCAAGCTAAGCCCTACAACGTTCAATAGACTCCTGTGAACCCTGGTGGAGACCTGGTTGGCCAGCACTGTGGCAAGACCTGGGGACTTCTGGGCCCAGAGTCAGTGACATAGCCACAGAGGACTAGAGTGGAGAGTGAAGTGTCCAGCTGATAAGAAGAGAAGGCATATGCACAAGAACACCCACACTTGCAGATAATACCCACTTGACGTGGCTTCAATGACCGGATGATCAGAGTTCAACTAGAAGGAGAAAGTAGAGGGAAAAAAGCAATCTGATACAGTTTTATGAACTTGACCTACACCTAAGGATGCAGTAGCTCAAATGAGGGAACAAATCTTTACAGCGAGGATCATTCCCACTGGGCGGGGCTGATGAAGGGAGATGCGGATAGGTTTCTTGTGATACAATAGTGAATAATTATTATCAGGACTGATTGTGAGGGTTGGAAATGTAAAGGTAGACGTTTTGTAGCAAAAGGAGGGGAGGTCCCTGGGATCATCAAGGGAGAAGAGCGGAGTGTGGGACCCTACCCAGAGAACCAGTGACGCCTGAGATGGAGCCAGAGACAATGACGTGGAGAGATGGAGTGGTTGTGAATTCTAGACCCAAAGAGGGAGAAGGGCTGTGTGCTGACGACCAAGGTACAGGCTTGCGGGGTGTACCATCTGGTTGGTTGATGATGTATGGAGGGGCTTATAACCATGGCAATGAAACGATATACAGTAGGATGAATGTAAAATTAATGTTCTCCTATGTAAATGATCACATAATTCACAAAACATTTTTTTTTAAATGGAGGTGCTATAAAGGCTTTATAGCCTCGGAAACCCTGTACCGGGTCGCTCTGAGTCAGAACCGACTCCACGGCATACAACCACCACCATAAAGGCACAAAGTGGCTGGCTTACAAGCAAAACTTGCATGGGTGTGCTGAGTTTCAGAATGGAGGGGGGGTTGAAACAAAAAAAGCTTCATTCCATATATTTTAATAATGTCTTATTGATGGACATTTTGGTTATTTTCATTTTGAATTTATTAATAGTCTAGGAATGAATTCTTTGCTCACCTTGCTTATTGTATTTTTTCAGAATATATCCTGTTGGTAATGTTTGCACCATGTAGTGAATATAATCAATGTCACCAAATTATACAAACCAAAATGGTTGAAATGATAAATGTTTTTTCATATATGTCTTACCTCAATAAAAAAAAATTTGTCTTGTGTGCACCTCTTAAAGATTCTTTTTTTTGGACACGTTTATCTAGGAAGGTGATGTGGATTCACAGCTCTCCTGATGACTCTAAGAGTCCTACACAATCCCACTTTTGTTACCAGCTTGCTAATACTTATCATACAAATTCTTACCCTTGTGATGTGGCAAAAGTTTATCTTGGCATCATTTTAACCTGAATCTCTGCATTCTAACGAGGCTGAACTGAAGTCAAACGTATTTTCCTTTCAGAAGCCGCTGAATGTGACTGTCATCCGAAGAGGGGAGAGACACCAACTTAGACTTGTCCCAACTCGCTGGGCTGGGAAAGGGCTGCTGGGGTAAAGTTCCTCTGTCCTGTCTGTCACATGGTGTTTGGTGTCCATTAGCTATAATGCCAGGGGCCCTGGTGATGTAGTGGGTTACAAGCTGGACTACTCATTGTAAGATCAGCAGTTTGAATCCTTGGGAGAAAGATGCGGCTTCTACTCGTAAAAATGTATAGCTTTGGAAACCCTTTACAGGGTCATGAGTCAGAACCGACTCCATAGCACATAACCACCACTAGCAGCAGCTATAGTGCTGCTGGGAGGGAGTGTTGGAAAATAATGGGAATTCCCGAAATGCACTGTGTGATACAAAGGAGGCGGGGGGCGGTTAGGGCAGGGGATCTCTGGTCTCTCTCTAGAGTCTCTTGAGTCTGATTAAAATGGTCTTCTAATAATTAGGTGTCTGCTTTAGAAGCATAGAATAATATAGATGGACAGCTCCAAGGCCTCCTCTTTGTTCCTTCTGGAAGAAAACCATCAAGCCCTAACTGGTTTTTTTGTTTTTCCTTCCAGCTGCAACATTATTCCTTTGCAAAGATGATTGTACCTGGGGAACAGAGCAGGAAAGCCTCTTCCCATGCCTTGGACTTTGGTCTGGTGGGACCTGTTCCTTCTCTCCCTGAAGCTTACGGATCTGGAAGTGGCTGGAAACCTGAACTTGTGGATGGTGGCAACGCTGTGGCCAGTGTCAGCTGTCTGCATGAAGGCATTGTTCAAACCTGACGTGTGCCTAGCGTTGTTTCCGGATCAGGCCATGGCCCTGAGTGGGAATCCTCTGGATTGTGGGCGAGTGGGTTGGAGTTATACTGGTAGAGGCTTTTATGACTTTTTTCTCCTAGGAAAATCTTTTTCTCCCCCTAAATAAATCCAGTTTTACAATGTGCTGATAAGACCCTGGTGTTGCCCCAGATGTATGTCTTAGGAACCACTCAAAGTAGAGTAGAGCCTGGGGGTTCGAGTGTCCTCATGAGGACATACTGGACGGAACAAACGAGCCATAGTGCCGGCGTCAGGATTCAACTAACGTGTCAGGAATGTCCCTTCCTTACTCTGGTTCATTGTTACTTTGAGTACAGAAACTTTATACAAGTTGTCTGTATCCTCCACCTCTGGAGCCTTTGGAGAGCTGGGAAAGCCTGATATCCCAATCCTGAGTGGTGTCGGGCTATTCCTCTGTAATCCACTAGGGGGCAGCAAGGTCTTCTGTAACCAACAAACCTACAGCCCACCATTGATGTCAAGTGGATTCTGATTCAGGCACCCTGTAGGATCCCTGTAGAATGAGTAGATCTACCCCGAGGTGTCTCCAGGGCTGCAACAGGTCTTCCCCTGCTCAGCAGCTGCTGGGTTAGCAGCAGAACCCATAGTCACTGGGCCACCCCAGCTTCTTCCTTGACCACCAGAGGGCAGCCTGCTCCTTGAATGTCTACAGTTAATAATAGCAACTGCACATTAGCTTCTAAGTTGACTTTATGATAAAACCTCCCAGCCCCACCCTGAGACAGCAGTGTTTTCTCCAATGCTGAGGGGCACTTGCCCTTGCTGATGGGAACACAGACAGTATTTGCAGCTCTGACTGACCGGAAGCACTCAGCTCCTTTTAGTTTTTATCTCTTCATCTGTCAAGTGGGCTTCTGTGACCCCTCTTACTGTCTTCCCGTCTTGAGGTTTCACAATGCTTAAGCCACAGTTCTTACTATTTTCTGACTCTGAGGGAGTCTAGCACTTTTACTGAGGAATGGTGATGGTCCTTGGGGGTTGGATTTGCTTGGGCTTTTGTTAAATATGGTCGAGTCAGGTCACTCAGTTCTGTACAGGGTTTCCAAGGAGTGGCCAACCTTGTGGGTATCAGCTCAATGTTTACAGTGCCACACCAGGACTCTTTGCTTGGGTTAAATTATTATCAACTAATGACTACAGTTTGAACCTATCATCTGCTCCTCAGGAAAATGATGAGACAGTCTCCTTCAATAATGATTGCCACCTTGGGAACCAAACGGCGGGGTAGTTCTATTCTAAACTTCAGGGTTGCTGTGAGTTGCTTGGTGGAGAGTCAGCAAAAAAGAGGAAGTTTCCAACGAGATGGATTGGCATAGTGGACTGGCACAGTGGCAACAGCTATGGGCTCAGGCGTAGCAATGACTGTGAGGATGGCGCAGGACCGGGCAGTGTTTTGTTCTGTGTGTATAAGGCCGCTGTGAGCCAGGGCGTGAATTGGAATTGACGCCAGTGGCTTAGGCAATGGATTAGACAACACCTTGGGCCCTGACGTGAGTCAGTATAAAGGTATCCTTCCAGCCATGGCTTCTCACACTCAACTTGGGAACTGTTCTGTTCCCCTAAACTGTGTGTTATCCCCTTATAGCAAGAGACATGTCGTGATTACCAACGTTTGGTGCTTAAAATTGTGTGTTCGATTTCCATGATTTCCTAGCTCTTCTTCAAAAGTTCCAGACTACGGTGAACACAGTTTATATCATCCAAGGTATCCCTTTGTTTTTCCTTTTTAGAGATTGTGCATATTAATCACGGTTAAATGTGCTCAGCTATTAACCAAGAGGTCAGCAGTGTGAACCCACCAGCCACTCTGCTGGAGAAAAGTGTACAGTCTGTTTGTGTAAAGGTTCGTTGTTGTTGTTAGGTGCAATCAGTTCAGTACCAATTCAAAGCGACCTTATATGCAACAGAACAAAACACCACTGCCCGGTCCTGGGCCAACCTCACAATTGTTGCCACGCTTGAGCCCATTGATGCTGCCACTTTGCCAGTCCATCTCGCTGGGGGTCTTCCTGTTTTTCTATGACCCTCCACCTTACCAAACATGATATCCTTCTCCAGCGACTGGTCCCTCCTGACAATATGTCTGAATGGTTTAAAATTAAGAAAGGTGAAAGGTTTACAGCCTTGGAAACCCCTGGGGATGATTGTACTCTGTTCTATAGGGCCGAAATTGGCTCAGCAGCAGTGGATATACGTTTTAGTGCGTTTTCAGCACTGGGCCATGAGTTGGTGGTGGCTGCTGAGTTGATTCCTGCTACAGGAGACCTGGCCCCATGGTGTGGGGGTCATTCACTTTCTCCCAAGATGATGGCAGCTAAGATGATCTTCATCAGCACTATTAGCTTGTTCTTTTTATCAGTTTTAGGACAACAGCATGTGTGGTCCTCTGTGATGTTCTAGCTGAGCTGAGCTTTGATATGAAACGGTCCTTACAGATTTAACTATATTGACTCTTAGAAAAAACTTTGTTGTCATTACTGAGACATACACCAATCCAGCTGTTGCTATATGTGTAGTTCAGTGACATTAATTACCTTCTGACCAGACTGGTTTTGCATCAAGGCTTTGTGATGGCAGCAGCAAGATCGTGAAACCTGCACGCCAAGTTCTCTCCTCTGTGAGGAGAAGGGAAGTCTGAGGGGTGTGCTACCTCTCTGAGAACGAGAAATTTTCTGGTTTAGTTTGCTTTCAACAAAGAGAAGTTTATCAAACAGTTCATATTTCTTCACTTATTCTTGTCCAGTTTTCAGGAAGTCAAACTTGCCAGTATCGGCAGTGTGGCTTCTCAGGGAATGGCACCATGGGAAAAAGTGGGAAAAGGGTGAGGGGCCACCATTTGTCTATCAGTTTGTTGTACTGTGGTGGCGTGTGTGTTGCTGTGTTGGAAGCTCTGCCACCGGTATTTTAAGTATCAACAGTGTCACCATGGTGGACCGGTATCAGTGGAACTTCCAGACTAACATTAGGAAGGAGAGGTGTACCACTTCTGAAAGGTTGTTGTTGTTAGGTGCCATTGAGTTGGTACTAACTCATAGTGACCCAGTACACAACAGAATGAAAGAAACACTGCCCGGTCCTGGGCCAGTCTCAACAATTGCCACGTTTGAGCTCATTGATGCTGCCACTTGGCCAATCCATCTCGCTGGGGGTCTTCCTCTTTTACTCTGATCCTCCACCTTACCAAATATGATATCCTTCTCCAGGGACTGGTCCCTCTTGACAAAATGGCCGAAGTATGACAGACAAAGTTTGGCCATCCTGGCCTCCAAGGAGCACTCTGTCTGCACCTTCCAACACAGATCGGTTGGTTCTTTTGGCAGCACCTGGTACTTCCAATAGTCTCCGCCAACACCATAACTCAAGTGCATCAATTATTTTACGGTCTTCCTTATTAAACTTTTGCATGCATGAGTTTATTGAAAATACCATGGCTTGGATCAGGCGCAGCTTAGCTGACATCTTTGCTCTTCAACACTTTAAAAAGGTCTTGTGCAGCAGATTTGCCTAATGCAATACGTTGTTTGATTTCTTGACCGCTGCTTCCATGAGTATTGATGATGGTTGATCCAAGAAAAATGAAGTCTTTGACAACTATCTTTTCTCCATTGGTAAAGATGTTATTTATTGGTCCGGTCTGAAAGGTTAGATGCTATTTTATGAGTAACAGCAGAACGTTGTCTGGCAAAGTACCCGGAAGTGAATCCCTGAGGCTGGAAGACACTCAAAATACAGCTGAGGAAGAGCTGCCTCCTCAAAATAGAGTTGACCTTAATGATATGGATGGAGGAAAGCTTTCGAGATCTTTATTTGCTGATGGGGCACAACTCATAATGAGAAGAAATAAGCAGCTGCAAACATCCATTGATTATTGGAATGTACAAAGCATGAACCTAGGAGAATTGGAAGTTGTCAAAAATGAAATGGAATGTGTAAAAATTGATATCCTAGGCCATTAGTGAGGTGAAACGGACTAGTATTGACTGTTTTCAATCAGACAATCATGGTTTACTATGCCAGGAATGACAAAGAAGAATGGTATCATATTCATTGTCAGGGAATTTCAGCCTTGAAGTCCAATGCTGTCAGTGATAGGATAATATCTATATGTCTAAAAGGAAGACCAACTAGTGCAGTGATTACCCAGATTTACCCATCAACCACTACATTCAATGATGCTGAAATTGAAGAATTCTACCAACTTCTTCAGTCTGAAATTGATCAAACATTGCAATCAAGAAGCATTGATTATTACTAGTGTGAAAATTGGAAACAGGAAGAATTGGTAGTTGAAAAATATGGCCTTATTCACAGAAATGATGCTGGAGCTCACATGTTAGAGTTAGAAAGATCAATGACTTACTCATTGAAAATACCTGTATCCAAAAAAGGTAACTATACACATGAACCTTATCAGATAAAATTCACATATGTGGGAAGAGACGATGGAAAAACTCAGTATTAGCCAACACAAGGTGAGGAGCCAACTGTGGAATAGACCATGAATGGTTCTTAAACAAGTTGAAGCTGAAACCAAAGAAAAAACACGTCTACAAGAGTCAAATACGGTCTGGAGCATGCTGTTGTTAGAACTGTCAAGTTGGTACTGACTCACAGTGACCCCTATGCACAGTGAGCCATCCTGTTGGTACTTCTGAGCCCCATTGCTACTGTCCGTGTGTCAGTCCATCTCATTGGGGGATCTTCCTCTATTTCACCGACTTTCTATCAAGCATGGTGTCCTTGTCCAGGGACTGATCCTTCTTGATAACATATTCCACCTGAATTTAGAGACCATCTCAAGAACAGAATTGATGCGTTAGACACATTACCGAAGACCAGAGGAGTTGTGGGATGATACCAAGAACAGTATACAGGAAGAAAGCAAAAGGTCATTAAAAAGACAGGAAACAAAAGTCTAAAATGGATTTCAGACTCTTAAAATTTGCTCTTGGACATAGAGACGCTAAAGGGATTTAAAGAACTGATGAAGTATTAGAACTTAACAAATTTTCAAAGAGTAGCTGAAGAAGACAAAGTATTTTAATGAAATATATACAGACCTGGATTTAGAAAACCAAAAGGGAAGTCCATACTCAGCATTTCTCAAACTGAAAGAGCTGAAGAAATATGTCAAGCCTCGACTTTTAATACCGAGGGATGCTGTGGGAAAAGTATTGAATGGTACAGGAAGCATCCAAACATGGAAGGAACACTCAGTCACTGTTGAACCATTTCAAGAGGTAGAATATGATCAACAACCGATGATATTGAAGGAAGAAGGTCAAGCTGCACTGAAGGCATTGATGAGAACAAGGCTCTGGGAATTGACAGAATAGAAATTAAAATGTTTTCACAAACTGGTGCAGTGCTGGAAGTCTTCACTTGTCTATGTCAAAAAAATTGGAAGACAGCAACCTGGGCAACCAATTAGAAGAGATCCATATTTATGCCCATTCCAAAGAAAGGACATCCAATGGAATACAGAAATAATTGGACAATATCAGTGTGGGTTAATATGCTGGACTGCAAAGTCACCTTGGACCTCAAGGTCAGCCAGCAGTTGAAGATCACCAGCTGCTCCTAGGTAACGCTATACGGGGCTCCTATGGGTCGGAATTGACTCAACAGCACTTAAAAAATCATATCACACATGTAAGTAAAAATTTCCTGAGGATAATCTAATCCATCAACAGGGTTGCAGCAATCCATCAACAGGGAGATGTCAGAAATACAAGCTCAATTCAGCAGAGGACATGGAGCAAGGGGTATTATTGCTGATGTCAGACAGATCTTGACTGAAAGTGGAGAATACCAGAAAGATACTTGCTTGTGCTTTATTGGCTATGCAAAGATATTCAACTGTGTGGGTCATAACAAACTATGGAAAACGTTGCAAAGAATGGGAATTCTAGAACACTTAATTTTGCTCATGAGGAACATGAGCAAAGGGAATACTAAATGGGCTTAAAATCAGGAAAGGTATGTGTCTGGTATCATTTCACCATGTTAATCTGTGTGCGGAGCAAATAATCTGAGATGATGGACTATAGACAGAAGAGCATGGTATCAGGATTGGAGGAAGATTCAGCAACAACCTGCAATATGCAGACGGTACAACCTTGTTTTTGAAAGAGAAGACACTTCAAATACTGATGAAGATCCAAGACTACAGCCATAAATATGGATTGCACCTTCAATAGGGAGAAAAAAACAGACGTTGTCAAAGACTCTTTTACTTCTAGCCACAATCAATGCTCATAGAAGGAACAAAGAAACCAAAGGATGTGTTATTGCATTAGGTAAATCTGCCTCCAAAGTCTTCTTTAAAATGGTGAACAAAAACGTTACTTTGATGACTAAAGTTTCAGTCACCTCATATACCCGTGAAAGTTGGACACTGAATAAAGTAGATTGAAGAAGAATTGATGCATTAGAATTAATGGTGTTGAAAAGAATATTGAAAGTACAGAGGACTTCCAGAAGAACAAACAAACCTGCCTTGGAAGGACAGTTAGAATGCACCTTTGAAGCAAGGATGGCGAAACTTTGTTTCTGGTGATTTGAACGTGTTATCAGGAAGGACTTGTCCGTGGAAAAGGACATCATGCTTGGTAAGTCAGTGAAAAAAGAGTAAGATCCTCAACGAGATAGATTGACATAATGGGGTCAAGCAATGATTGTGAGGATGCCTAGGACCCGGCAGTGTTTTGTTCTGTTAATGCTTAAGGTCAGCACCCACTTTATGGCACCTAACAATACAACAACAGCGCGAGCAGGGCAGGAAGGTAAAGAGAGTCAATGAAACCTGGGCAAGGGGCATGCTGGCCCCGCTCTCAGACTCGCTCCCGGCACGTGATCCACCGCCCAGCCCTCTCGCTTTACGGCTGGCGGTTACCATGGGTGCTGAGCTTGGGTGACAACCGTAACTAGGGAGACTTTGGAGCCAGCTGCAGCTGGAGGTGGAGGGGTTCTGCCAACCAGACAGGCGGGTCTTTGAAGCCTGAGGACGGCAGTCTGTGAGTCCGGGGCGGGGGTCCCATCAAGGCACTGTTGGGAGAGAGGAGTGGCCCCAGGGCACCTGAGCGGAGGGCGGGGCCTCCCGCAGATCCAGAAGCCTGCCACCCCTCCGCTGCCCCGCCCCTATTCAGGTGGGCCGTTTGGAAGGCGACCTCATTAGTCATTTTTTATATGGGAACTTCTTAGCAGTGTGCTCTTGACTAAGTCCCTCAACTCCCGGAGCTTCAGACTCTTCGTTTGTTGTAAAGAACAAATCAGAGCGTATCGGTCAGCGGGTTTTCAAACTAAATTTCTCTGAAATCAGGGTTACTTTTCTGCCCATGATATCAGTTGCTACCATTTCTTGAGTAAAACGTCCTAGAACTGTGTCGAGTATTTTGCACGTTATCTTCACAACAAACCCATAGTGTAAGAGTCTCGTTTTAATTTTGACTGGAGCAAGTGTTGTCTCTAACCTGCAAAACTGCAGAGCAAGTGAATGGCGGAACTGAGTGGGAGTTACCTTTGGAACAGGCCGCCTGCAAGGCCCAGGCACCAACTACTTCTCTTACTCCTGTTACACTTGGAATAAATGTCTGCGTTAGGCATTTTGCTGCCTGTAAAATGTGAATCTATTTAAAATTAGTTACGGGGCTCTAAAGTTATTCCTGGAAAGACAAGAGGTCCTGGGAATCAGTATTAGTATATGGTTTAGACTAGGCTTTCCAGACACATGGCTTTCTTTTCTTCATATAGAAAGGAATTCGAGTTGGTATTGCACATTTCCTGATAGGCTAGGGAAGCAGGAAATCAAAATGAGAAATAGGTGTGTGTATTGATTATTCTTGTCAAAATTTCTCTAGAGAAAACTCTACAGGGAAGAATGTCAGATGCAAAAGAAAACCCACTAGAAGAAACAGAAGATGACGTAGAAGCAGAAATGGAAGAAAACTATAATCCAGATTACCAAAAAATAGAAGAAGAATATAATTCTGATTACCAAGAAGGAGAAGAAGAAGAAGATTATTCTGATTACCAAAAATCAGAAGAAGAGTATAACCTAGATTACCAAAATCCAGAAGAAGAACGTAATCCTGATTACCAACAATTTGAAGAAGAGGAATATAATGCAAATTACCAAAGACTAGAAGGAGAACAACAAGAAGAGTATAATCCTAATAACCAGAGGATCGGAGAAGAAGGATATAATCTAAATGACCAAAACAGGGAAGAAGAAAAAGGCAAAGAAGATGTATACAATCTAAACTACCAAAAGATAGAAGGAGAAGACGACGACGAAGAAGAAAAGTCACGTTACCAACAGGTAGAAGAAGGTGGCCAAAAAGATGAAGAAGACTATAATGCAAATGACCAAAAGGTAGAAGGAAAAGAAGAAAACCTGAATTACCAAATGGCAGAAAATATACAACAGGAATCAGAAAAAGAAGACACATTAGCATGGAGGAAGTTTCAGGAGGAGGAAGCCCCAATAGCAGAGGAAATAGAAAAACTGGTTGGAAAAGAACAGGAGGGTGAGTTTGTAGAACAGGAAGACATCATGAAGGTGCCCCAAAAAATCACTCAGGCTATGATGAGTTTTGAACGACTTGTGCTTCCTGGTTCCCAGTCAAACGTGTCAGGAACTTCTCTCGTAAGTAGTACTCATGCATTCATCCATCCATCTGTCCATTCATTGAGAAACATTAATTGAATACTTAATGTTCAAGCAAACTATAGGGATACAAAACCTAATAAGACACAGTCAGTCTCTCTAGGGTATGTGGTAGGGAGGCAGATCTATAACCGAACATTATAAAATAGCATGTGAAGTGATTTAAAAAAGACTGTTTAACTCAGTTTGGAAGAAGATCAGGGGAAGCTTCCTGGAGGAAGTTTGTAGTGGAGCTGATGTTTCAAGGGCTGATAGGGATTCACTGAAGTGTACTTGTCTTAGAATAAAGCCAGTGTGGGTACAGTAATGTTGACTTCCGGCAGACGGGCCCTTGTGGGACTCAGCTCAGGTCCAAGAATGCATAATTCTGTGGCCAGTGAGCTGTTTGGAGACCATCAATAGAAGGATTTGGCTGTGGTGGGTCTGCTGGTAGGGTAAGAATAAACCCGGCACACCCATGATGCATTTTATTTCAGTATAAGATGTCCCAGGCTCTTTTTCAAAAACACTTTCAAATGACTAGTACAAACGGGTAAGCACTCAACTACTGACCAGATAGTTGGCAGTTTGAATTCACTCAGAGGCACCTGGAAGACAGGCCTGCTTCTGGAAGGTGACAGTTTTGAAGACCCCACGAAGCTCAGTTCTATTCTGCACACCTGGGGTTGCCACGGGTCAGAACCAACTAACCCAAGAATGCCCAAATGTGGGTAACAGACAAACTGAGGAGGGCAGAGAAGAAAAGGGAAACAGGTAGGAGAACAGTGCTGCACATACTGTATTTGGAATCACAATCTCCTTTCATTTCTTTTGAAAGAAAAAGCATAGAAGTAGCTGGCCAAAGCCGTTACTAGAACCAGAGGATTCCGAAGTCCTTGACCTTATACAAGCTGAATTTCCCGATTTGGGTCAAAACCATTCCGAGGAACCACAGCCCTGTGATGAGCTTGCTGAGAAAACCCAAGAAGTAGCTTCTGAAAAGGGAACACAGAAGACAGGAGAGGGGGTGTCATTCACAAGCCAAGGAGGGCAGGCAGGAGCTTCGGAGGAGTCCCTGGTGTCCACCACCACAGAAGGTGCTTTGTTTAAAAAGGACGACAGTGTCAAAGTCTTCCCCCTGGTAAGTGCAGCAGGCTTCGTTAAATATCATGTAACTGGGACGTTTTCTGCATGGGACAAAAAAGAGCCCAAACCAAAGATAATTAAAATAAAAAACCTAAGAGTACATCAATTGTGCCTTTTAAAGCTCAGTTGAGCATGCTGGCTGGGCCTGCGTGACAGAACTTGACCGGGAAGGCTACATCTGGGTTCAATCAGTGTGCTCAGTGGACAGGAAATTCCAGACATAGTTTTTGTGTTACATAGGGTGCTATTTGGAGTGGGAGACTCAAATTCAATCTCCCTCTCTCTCTTCCACCTCCCTTTCTCCCCTGCTCCCCCCATTCCTTTCTCCTCTCCTCTCCTCTCCTTTCCTTTCCCATCCTGCCCTCCTCCCTCTCTTCCTCCTCTTCCCTTCCCTCCTCCTTCTATTTCCTGTCTCCTCCTCTTCCTCCTTCATCCCACCATTTCTCCTCTTCCCTCCTCCCTTCTTTCTTCTGCCTTCTTCAGCTGGTTACCTTTACAAAATGCACACACTGTTCCAAGCCTTGGATGGATCAGAAATTGAAAGGTGTGGCAAACTTGAGCCCTGCTGTGGAACAGCACTGGTGTCCCAGGGAACCTGTCTGTCTTCCCGCTGAAGCAGACAACCCCAGAAGGTACCATCTGTGAGCAATGAGAATGTTCCCGCTCAGCAAGGGCTCACCGCCCCTCTTTTTTTCTCCATCTGCTACTTTCTGAAAATTGCTCCTCAGAGTTCATCTCCTTAAAAAAAAACAAAAAAACCCTATAGATTTATTTGAAAGCGACGAAGTATATATTTAAAGTATGGTGTGGCACTGTGGGTTAATGTGCTGGATTGCAAGGTTGGTTTGAACCGCAAGGTCAGCTGTTCAAGCTCACCAGCTGCTCCTTGGAAACCCTATACAGGGTCACTATGCATCCAACAAGGTTCCATCTCATAATGGCTGTCTGTGTGTGTGCTGTGGAGTCGGTTCCAACTTATAGCGACCCTGTACAGGGTTTCCGAGGCTGAAAATCTTTATGGGAGCAGAAAGCCTCATTTTTCTTGTGCGGAACAACTGGTAGTTTCAAACTACTGACCTTGTGGTTCACAGCCTGATTCGTAACCACTACACTACCAGAGCTCCTTTATGTTGTTGTTGTTGTTATGTGCCGTGGAGTTGGTTCCGACTCATAGACACCCTGTACACGGTTTCCTGAGGCTGTAAATCTTTATGGGAGCAGAAAGCCCCATCTTTCTCCCATGGAACAGCTGGTAGTTTTGAACTGCTGACCTTGTGGCTCACAGCCCGATTCATAACCACTATGCTACCAGAGCTCCTTTATAAGCACTTTTAAATTTTAGTACCTAGATGATGATGACTGAGAGTCTCCTTTCTGAAGATTTGGCGTAATTCCAACATGGAGTTAAGTATTGCAATTTATCAGTTGTTGGGCCTGAAGGAAAGCGTTTCATTTTATTTTTGTTTTAAGTAGAGTCATTTCCAACTCATAGGGACCCTATATAGAAGGAGTGTTTCAGATGTGTGGCGGGTGGGTTTGAACCTCCGACCTTGCGGTTAGCAGTCCAATACTTACCCTACAGTGCCATATTAGGACTCCTGAAGGAAGCCCAGGTGGCACAATAATGAAGCACTCAGCTGCTATCTGGAAGGTTGATGGTTTGAACCTACCCAGCGACTCTGGGAGGAAGACTCGATGGTCTGTTACCACAAAGATTATTGTTGCTAAGTGCCATCGAGTTGGTTCGGACTCATAGCGACCATGTATAGGGTTTCTGAGGCACAGCTGGTGAGTTTGAACTGCTGACCCTGCAGTCCAGTGCTTATCCTATACCATCATACCAGGACTCCTATATATATACAATTGTTTAGCGCTGTCAAGTCAATTCCGACTCATAACAATCCTGTATAGGGTTTCTGAGGAGTGCCTGCTGGGTTTGAACTGCCAACCTTGTGGTTAGCTTGCGGTTAGCAGCCCAGTGCTTATGCTACAGTGCTACACCAGCCAAGAAAACCCAATGCGACAGTTCTGCTCTGCCATGCCGTCTCTATGACTGTACCCAATAGTAACAAGAACTCATGTAGAACTTTATCCTGTTTCACCAGCTAACAAGAAATGAGGAAATATCATGTAAGTGAGTGAGTGGCCTTTGTATTCGGACCCCAGCTGCTTGGACTGGACAGCACCATTTCCCAGACATGGTCTCAGTGTGTGAGTTTTTGTCTCACTGCAGAATCAAACTCTTCCTGACCGCTCCTTTGTAAGAACATGCTTCGCTCTTAGGTATACCTTGTTGCTTCTTTCCTTTGTCTTTCTTTTCCTTTACCTTTATTACTGTTTTTATTAAATACATGCCTTTGTGAAAAATCCAGATAGCTTGTACATGTTTGAAGGCAAAGATTCCTACACACACACACGTGTGCACACATTCCGCAATCTAATTTATCATAAGGAACTACAGTTACAATTTGTTTGGTAAGACTCTGGTCTTCCTAAGCCTCTTTCTGTGCAAATGCAAACATGCTATCTGCGCATGTGCACACCCACATAATTCACATTCAATTTAAAATTTTTTGTAAAACCGGTGATGTATTCTTTCTTGACTCCCCCCCTCCCCCCGCTTAATTCTTTCAAGACAATTATTTTCTGCTTTGAACTTTTTGTTGAAATCATGTGTTTTCAGTAATGGAAGACATTTTGAATGAAATGAAAAAACTTTTTTTGTGTGTGCAGCAATATGGATTCTGATAAAATTAGGGGACACATTTCTTCCAGTCCCTTTAGCTTTTTTATATTCAAGAGTAGGTTTCAGTCTCTTCGGGCATCCATTTTGGTCTTTTTCTTTCTTTCTTGTCTTTTTAATGACTTTGCTGTCTTCATGTATGATTTTTCTGTTTCTTTAAAGTTTTTCTTGTGAACTGAGTGATAGTTTACATGAGAGAACATCAGCTTTACACTCATTCTATCGTATTTTGTTTCACTGCAGTGATTACAATCCCCTCCATGTATCATCATTCAACAGCATTTGCTTCCAATCCCTTTGTGTTTTTTTCTTTTTTTGGATGTACACCGAGGCACTCAGGAATATTCAATCATTCAAACACCCAAAGGGTACAACCTGCAAGCCTGCCCCCGCCCCCACCTCCCCAGCCACCAGCACACAGCCCCTCTCCCTGCATGAGTCTAGAATCCCCTGCCGCTCCATCTCTCCATGTCATCATCTCTGCTTCCATCTCTGGCGTTGCTGCTTCTCTGGATAGGGCCCCACACTCTGCTCCCACTCTTCTCCCTTTATGATCCTAGGATCTCCACTCCTGGACTGCAAGATCAACTACTCCCCTCTTTTTGCTACAAAATGTCTACCTTTACATTTGCAACAATTACTCACTATTGAATCACAGGAGTCTTATCCCCATCTCCTTTCACCAGCCCAGTTTAGACAGATTGGAAAGCACTTGGTAGAGATTCTACCTCCCCTGCACCATCTGAAATTCAACTCCCTCTTGAAAACTCATGTATGATGTTTTTTATGTCCTCCCACTACTCCTATAAGGGGCTCTGGTAGCATAGTGGTTACTAATCGGGCTGCGAACCTTAAGGTCAGCAGTTCAAAACTACTAGCTGCTCCGCTGGAGAAAGATGAGGCTTTCTGCTCCCGTAAATATTTACAGCCTTGGAAACCCTGTACAGGAGCGCTATGGGTCGGAACCGACTCTACAACACTTAACATCAACAGCAGCAACTAACTCCTATGGTTTTTGGTCATTAGTGTCTCATGTATCAAGTCTGCTATTGTGGTGGTCTCTAAATTCAGGTGGGATATATTCAAAGCCATATTTTGGCTCTCGTGGACTTATTTAAATTTTTTTCAGCTTCAACTTGAGCTTGTGAAAGAGCGCTTGATGGTCTGTTCCACAGTTGGCCCCTGGCCTTATTTTGGCTGATGGTACTGAACTTCTCCAGTATCTTTTCCCACATAAATAGTTAATTTGA